CAAGATTCATTCTGCAGGCCAATTTCAGCCCATAGATCCCCATCATCTACCCCCAGTCCTGCCCCTGGGTCTCAGAGTTGACCCACACCCCCCACAGCGTGCCAGCCCTAGCTGCATGTGGCACCCACCCTGGCTGGTCAAATCCAGGACCCACACTGCATGCAGCGCCCAGTTCAGGCCACATGTTCCATGCAGCACCTACCCTAGCTGGTCTGGGTGGCACGTCAGATTAATTGGTTTATTGATATAATACTGACTTAATGCCATTCATAGACCCTTGAACTATTGCATCAGTATACACATTATAGTAAAAATGTCTCTTTTAGTGTAGGGTTTTTTTTTTGCCATAATAATTTTGCTTGGGTAAGATTAAGGGTTTTAAAATTAAAGCAGCTAAATGTATATGACTCACATTGTGCCAACCTATAGATAATCCTTTGCATTCCAAACCGGATGGAGCAGAAAAGCATGTTGTGGAATATGAATTTCCATAAGTGTATATATTTTGCCTGCTCGATAAACTCATCTGTCATCTCATCATAAGACTCATCTGTCGGTCAAGCTGATATGGCTCAATAAATGGATAAGCTAGCAACTTACACTTACTATCTTTCAGTATAATTTAGAATATCTGTATTGTGCTCTCCCCTCCCAGTTACAGAACACTTACCACTGTTTAGTTCATCTGAAAATCTGATCACTTATATATAGATGTACTCATTTTAGTAATGAGTATTTATTAGCATTAGGATGGTATTATTATTAAGAAAGCACACAAAATCAAAATTCAGGAAATTCATAATTATAAAGTCTCTCAGCTTTGTTTCATCAGATGTCCTATATTTTCTTTGTTATGGATCATAAAATATATTTTTTGTCATTTTTCTTTTTCCGTGATTCTATTAAATTATACAAGTCTAAAGCTATCTGGTCTGAGAAATTAAAGATGGACAAAGCAATAGAGACTACAGGTTCCAATCCAGAACTCCAACATTCTGACATTCTCTTTGACACTCTCACATATTCCGCAAGCACCAACAACACACGCGCGCGCACACACACACACACACACACACACACACACACACACACACACCGCGCGCGAAGTGGAATGCATCCCCTTCTTAAAAGTGGTATTATGTAATAATTTAAAGGAAAATGTTTTTAAAATTAGTTTAAACTGCAAGGGAAAATACACAGAAAGACAGCAGTTAAATTGGTATTTAATAAGGATAGTATACCTAACTCTTGCCACAGTATCATGCAAATGTTTGTAAGATTAACCATTACCTTGATTTTAAATTTCATCTGAAAGACATTAAGCAGGGCAATACAGGGTCCCTGAATCATTTGAGGCACTGGCTAAGTACTGACTTAAAGGGAAAAGCATTTTTTTCTTAAACATGATCATTCTGTAAAAAATGATAAAGTATCATGCTTCCCTTTAGTTTATTCCTGTTTAGTTAATGATACCTGAACCCCCCACCCCCAAGAAGTCATAGTACAAAGTATCATGCCTACAGGAAATAATCCTGCATTACTAGGAGCATGGACTAGATCAGGGGTGACCAACCTGCAGCACATGTGCTACAAATGGCACAGACTGCCTCTATGTGTGACACATGACAGACTGAGGAGGGGGCAGGAAGCAAACAGGGCAGCAAGTAGAAAGCAAAGCAGCAAATTGTGGAAGAGCATTGGAAGAGCATTAAGGGATAGCGTGGGGCTAACATGTGGCCTTCCTGACAAAAAAAATCACCACCACTCAGAGGGCCTGATGTGCCTAATAGCTGCATAACAAAAATTTAAAACAAATGTGAAAAATGGTAACATTCTATCCATTTTATAAACACTGTTTAACTTTGTAAATACAGTCTTCTACTTTGGTTCTCAGAATTTCCTGGATAACTCTTGAAAAGGGTCTTATCTTATAAACTCTTTCAGGCTTGATTACTTGTATAACCTTCTATTAACGCTTGGAAAACATTTTACAGAGTGCAGTCAGAGCCCTGGATATAGTAAGATCACATATTTTTATTCCAGTTTTACAAGTGAAAAACCCATCTCAAGATGCTTCAAGATTCCACCACATTCTACATTCAAGCAGCCAGGGGTGTAATGCAGCCTTAGGGAAGGGAACAGTCTCCATATTATGCACAGCTGAAACATCCACAGAGAACTCAAGGTTCCTCTCTATTGCTCAAAACCATTTTCTTATTTGATTCCTTGGGTGCCCAATCTAAGACACTCCTGATTCGAGTTCTTCAGAATTCTTAGACTTACAAGTTCAAAGAACAGCTTCTATTACCTTTAGTTACTTCCAGCATTCAGCACATCTGCAAAGCGCAGAGCAGGTGATCAAATCAGGCATCCAGAAAAGAAGAGGTACACAATTAATGACCAAATCTGAAAAGTTTCATTTAAATCAGTAGCTCACAATTTTTCTTGGCAGATGACATCCACTTCTGGAGTGAGTCCAACTATTACAATGAAAAGTCTGTAAGGCTTAAGAGTCCGCTTTTTAGTGCTGTGACCCCTCATTTGGGAACTTTGTGGCAGTGTCAGGGATAGAATTCTATTGTTCAGGACATCATTCAACTGCTTTAACCAGGAGATGTGGACAGACACAACAAGTAAAACATTTCAGGCACCTCTAAAACATACAAAGATACAAGCCCTCTGAAACATCCCAGAAGTGGCTGAAAATGAGATACTGTTTTGGAGCATTTCACTTTTTGTCCTATCTCCATGGGAGGAGATTAGAGTGTGCAACTCCTGCTGGACCCCTGCCCCCACCAGACCTGAAGCCAAGCTTAGCTCACTTTAAATTAATAGTAGCTGAAAACTTACATTACCAGGTTTGTAAACTGGATTGTCACACAGATGAGTAGCATTTATTGGGCACCCTCTACTGGGCAAATTAGGTATTGGTGCTCAAAGACAGTGGCAAGCTGAGCAAGGATGGCCCCTACAAATATTTTAGTTGCAAAAATACTAGCCTTAATGGGTGTTAGACCTGTAAATACTCTGAAGTCAGAATGAATTAAAGATATGGTTTTACCTCTCACCCTAAACTGTTTCAGTCATGGTACACCATATATCTCTCAGTCAACTTCTTATAAACAAAACTATACAAGTGATCCAAGTGTATTAGAAGAAAACTAAACAATGCTTAAATTTAATTTAAAGCATCAAGGCTGCTTACAAACGTGGAAAAAAACAAAACAGCACTTTACTTTCAGCTCAGTGCACCCCCATGCTGAGCACAGTGCAATGCCCAAAAGAGGCATTGCATTAGCTTGATCCAGCTCGCCCAACATCTGTATAGATAGTGTGCTTCAGCAGGGCTTTTTGGTGCTTTTATCTAACAGCTTATTGAATCAGCTCTAGATAAGAGTGCCAAATAGCCCTGCTGAAGTGTTTGATCAATATAGACACTGGGGAGCTGGGTCAAACTAACATGATTCCTCTTCTGGTAAAGTGCTGTTTGTTTGTTTTTTTCACGTCTGTCAGTGCCCCTAGATACTGCCTAAACTTCTTCACACAAATATGTACTAATGCACCTTCATCTAAACCACATTGGAACCCTGTTGTGTACAGACTGTCATTCTATTTCCACATGCAGTGAAATAGTGTCAAGTATTTTAATCTATGCATCTGAAAATCTAAACTGCATGTTCTAGAGACAAAAGATCAATGCATTCACTCAGTGAGCTATAGAGCCTTTACAGTTTCATTATGGCCATCTTTATTAATTCCTTCAGTCATGGTTCCTCAGGGAACAATGGGTTGTTAAACAAATTATTATAATTCCCCAAAAAGTAGTGACCTGTTCAGGTGGCCAATTTCATAGATAATGTGTGCTACACTGTTCAAAATACCAAGGTGATGTTAGTTACTTACCAATAGTAATACAGATCTCTTGATTCCCAGTGTAAAGTCAGCATTTTAAAAAAAAAGCAATTCTAGCCCCAGTTCAGAAAAAAATAATTAAACACATGCTTATAGTCCCTTCTTAAAAAAAAAATCTTTTCTGTATCTGAATTTCAGTTTGGACAAAGCTGAATATTCACAGAACTGTAGAAAATTAGTGTTGGAAGGGACCTCAGAAGGTCATCTAGTCCAACCCCCTGCTCAAAGCAGGACCATCCCCAACTGGATCATCCCAGTTAAGGCTTTGTCTAGCTGGGTCTTAAAAATGTCCAAGGATGGAGATTCCACAACCTCTCCGAGCAGCCTTTTCCAGTGCTTTACTATCCTCCAAAGTTTTTCCTAATATCTAACCTAAACTTCTCTTGCTGCAACTTGAGACCATTGCTCCTTGTTCTGTCATCTGCTGCCACTAAAAACAGTCTTGCTCCATCCTCTTCGGAACCACCCTTCAGGTAGTTGAAGGCTGCTATTAAATCCCCCTCAGTCTTCTCTAGACTAAGTAAACCCAGTTCCTTCCCAATAAGCCTCTCTACATAAGTCATGTGCCCCAGCCCCCTAACCATTTTCACTGCCCTCTGGCTGGACTCTCCCCAATTTGTCCACATCCTTTCTGTACTGGGGCACCCAAACCTGAACACACTACTCCAGATGTGGTTTCACCAGTGCTGAATAGAGGGAAATAATCACTTCCCTCAATCTGTTGGCACCGCTCCTACTAACACAGCCCAGTATGCTTTTAACCTTCTTAGCAAGAAAAGCACACTGTTGGCTCATATTAAACTTACTGTCCACTATAACCTCCAAGTCTTTTTCTGTAGAGCTGCTGATTAGCCAGGCAGTCCCCAGCCATGTACCGGTACATGGGCTTATTCTGCAAACAATCCTTGAAATATTCTATACCAGATTTTGTAAAAAATCTAGTTATATAGTTCCAGTTCTTACTATCATTTTGACTATGTTAAAATGTCTACACTCACAATTACTCTTTAGTATGTACAGTCTGAGTCACTGGCAATTAACAAGTCAAACCATTAATGATGCCTCCCTTGTTTTTCTCCTATCTCTATTATTTCCATATTAGAGGCATGATTTAGTGAAACAAACTTTTTATTTATTTCTCTAATACAAAAAACTTATGAGTTTACAGCTAAAAGGTTGACTAATTTAAATTTATACCATGTCTCCATTTCAATTTTGAAACAGAAAATGTTTTATACAAACAACAATTAACAACAGTATAAAAAGCTGTCAGTGTCCACAGGAATCGTGTCAAGTCATCTAGTCACATTTTCAGTCAGTCAGTTGGAGGTCAGGTCATTATTTAATCTCTGCTCTGTAGAAAGAACACAAGTATGAAATTGTATCAAAGGTGAAACACCCATTTTTATTTAAAAACAAACACATAAAAAGGATATTTCTTACAACGGCACCATGTGTCATACACAGAAAGTTGCATGATGGTCAATACACTTAAAAAAGATAATACCATACTCCATTTATGATTACTTGACATAGCCTAATAAGATTCTGTCTCTCTCGAGTTTGGTGTGGGAGCCAATATTTTTCCTCATATAATGTTTCTCATATATTTTGGAACGTAAGTGATATTGTAGCAGAAAGCCCCTTTTCCTCTTGCCTGCAGTTGCTCTCCCCTCCTTGGATATGTTTTTCCTCTTCTACCTTTTCTTCCTTCCTCTTTCTTTCACATTAAGACAAGGAATTGTGTTTTGAAATTTGTGTGTGCGCATTTTGTATCTCCCCTTGTAGTTTGGTATTTTTATCTATTTGTGTGCCATGGCATTACATTTGTAGCTTATATTTTATACTCCTCACCTTTCAACTAAATGTGTTTAGTTTCATAAGTAAGTTATACATTGTAACAATGTTAACAAGGGCAGGAATCAAACTGCCCTTCCCTGTATCAGGCTGGCCCCTGAAAGAGCGAGTGAATCAGTGATTGAATGTCTAACACGGTGGCAGGCAGCAATTAACACCTAAGAAAACTGCAGATCAACCAACAGAAGAACTCAATAGAAGACAATGTAACAACCAGGAAATCTCTAAACCTCACTGATCAAGGGCTAGAAGCCTTGGCCTGAGTTAATCAACACCAGGGACCAACTTTTGGGCTGAATATCTCCAAATCGACCGCTCCCAGAGCCCTATTCAAAATTCATCAACGGACTCCCAAACCTGCACGTACATGCGGATGACCCCTGGGGCTGACAGATGCCATCCAGTAGCCACCGAGGGGGGAAGTCCCACGAGGGTCAATGACCCCTGGATTGGGCAAACCTGAAAACTGGGGAGTCACCAAAGTCTGCTAAGGACAGATAAAAAGCAGTGAAAAATGACCCTCAGTGGCGCCCTCTTGATCTCCAACTTAGGTATACCTGACTCTTGTTGTGTGTGTGTGTGTGTGTGTGTGTGTGTGTGTGTGTAAGGACCAGCCCCAAGGTTTATGATTTAACTCATTACAATGTTTCAATCCGCTTAATAAACCAGAATTTTAAGGATCCCAAGTTGGACATTTGTAGCCAACAACATAATTGCATTTTGAATATGTGTATACAGAAATAAACAATTATAAATGCGCACACACACACACGCACACACATGTATATTATAAAATTCCCCTTTTCCACAGATTTTTTTTTACTTAAAAAATTGTATGCAAAAGAAACTGATGAAACAAAACTTATTCAGAATAAGAACAATAAAAGATATGAAGCTTAAGTTAATTCTTAGAGAACACATTGTGGATTCCTACCACTGGTTATTAGAGATTCTATTTTAAAAAATCAAATTCTGTGACTCCAGCTAGGGGGGGAAAAAACCTACAACAGGTTTATAAAAACAGTAACTCAGCAAGATATGGCAAAAATCAAGAACAAAAACCCTACCATCATCTACAATGGTGAAATAATGCAATGATACCTCTTTGTATAGGGCTATTGGGATTCAGTAGCAAAGATTTATTGCATTATGTAGAGGCTTTGTTTTATTTGTTTTCAAGATGCTGTTACTATGAAACCCTACTCTTTTAGAAAGCATTCTGTGGGTCAAGGCTGCAACAAACATGAAAGTCAATATTCCATAACACAGTTCTCTGGAAAAAAAACTTGATTATTTCCTTCATTTTTTATAGCATAGAGCATTAAATGCCTTGGTAAAGCAATGACATTATAATAGAAGAATGGTAAGGTATTGGCTAAGGAGAGATCTAGAGACAGTCAATGTAAAGAACTGTAATACAATATAAATTTGTAAGCACCATTGAAATCCAGTCACCTGTGTGGCGTAAAGAAACAGCCAGCTGTTCTGCTACACAAAAAGGGCCCTTGTGGGAGATTTTTTTCAGAAGAAAGTGAGACAATTTCTCTATCTGAAAATTCAAAGGTGTTTTAGGTAAGCAGTCTATAAGTACTCAGAAAGAAAACTAGTAAGAATACCAGGCTTGGTGTTCACAATATTCCACTATTTAAGAGGTAAATGGCAAGAGATTATACATTGATTGTATTCTCCATTACTGATTCCAAACAATCACTTACTACAAAAGTTAAATAAAGCTACTGCTGGTCATCCAGCTCAGTGCAGCTTTCTGCCGTGATAAACCTGATTTGTCGGAATGAGGTTAGAAACAGACGTTGCCAAATGAAATGGATCAGCTATGCCACAAGGTGTCAGAGCACAGCTAATCTGTTTCACTGGGGGAAGCATGTGACTCCTTGTCCTCCCCACTGATAGTGCAGGACAAGAAGCGATGGGGTTCTCCCAGGGTTTGAGGGACCCAGTCTTGCAAACTCTGGGAATTCCCAGACAGGATGAGCCCTTCAAGTCCTGAGAACACCTGCCAAGCCTCCTCCTCCAGCCCTTACCCAGACTTGCCACAGGGATCTCCAAAGACGATCTGGGTAAACAGACTTCTCCTGCTTATCAGGGCTGAGCCCAGCAGGGGCTAAAGGTCCAGGAGGGACAACAGCCGGGAACTGCCAGAGCCAGGGAGCCTGGAGATCCCTACTGGCCTGTAAGCAGGGCCACGGCCCAGGAGGGACCAAAGGTCTGAGATGGGCCACTGCCAGAGACTGACAGGGTCAGGGTTCTGCAGGCAAGGAGGCTGAAGCCTAGAAGCCAGGTCCTTTACCATAGGCCTTGGCTAAAGGATCCAGCAAGAGCCTAGTGGGAGGAGTCTTATAAGGCCCCCTACAGAGTGAATGATAGTACACCACCACCCATGAGGGTGTGGTATAGGGGAGGATGGAGCCACGCAATGAGCCTTTAAGGCTACAGGTGCTCTGGAGGGGGCAGATGCACAATTAGCTGTTCAGACCACAGGTGCCTTACAGGGGCATGAACAAACAAAGAGGGTCTATTGAGCTTAAGGGTCAAAGCAAGACTGGTAGAGTCCGAGAGGGGCTTGATTGGATGGAGGCTCACTCTAAAGCCTGTGGGCAGCCTCCCTTATTAAACCTTGATTAAGAACAAGACATGGTGGGAGAGCAAACAAGGGAGACTGAATCAGGCAGGAGTTTCATGGCCACCCCTACGGCTCAAACCTTCCACAGTTGGGTATTAAATACGATGAGAAAGCAGCTGTACTGTTGCTACCAGATAGGGTATAGCTTAAGGTACTAACAAGTCTCCTTTTTTATTGTCTTCGATGATTCACAGATATTAAGGAAGGGAACAGTTATGATCTAGTCTCATGCCCTAAATAACACAGACACAGAATTTTACTCAGTAATGTCTGTGTCTGAATAAAAAGGTGACCAAACGCCAGTCCACATGCCAAACCAATGTAAAGCACGAGAGCAAGTTCTGCTTGGGGTGTGAAAACCTCATGATCACAGTGCTGACAGGCACGTGACCAGATGGCCTCAGCCAATCAGAGGCTACATGAAGCGTGTGACTGCAAGGCCGGCAGTCATGGGCTCCTGACTGAAAATCAGCAGCACATTCTAATTGGCTCACTAGTTTATAAAAGGGGCAGAACTCCAGAGCTTAGGGGGTGATCCACGCATCAGTTTGGAGAGGCCTGATCACCCTTTCCAGGATCCCACGTCCCCTAGGTCGAATGTATACTCGATACCCGAACATAGTGAGCTCTCGTGTGGCAGTTATTGTTGCTGTTGTCGTTATTGCAATCGCTCTCCGACTGTAACATCGCAAACATTTGTTAAAGAGTTTTCTGTCTTCTTACGCAAGTTGTAAGTAAAACTTCATTTTACCATACCATCTTCATTTGGGTCAGTGTCCCTTTCGTCCCCGGCCTGGTCGTACTGGAGGGGTGGCTATTCACCCGCCGCAGTTTACCACAGTCTGCATCAATCTATCACTGATCTACAGTAGGAGTGTCCAGCATATGGGCCTGTGAACTGAAACTAGCCCACGGGACTCCCAGATGGACTAGGGATTCAAGGGCGGGACAGAGCTGACTGGGGACTTGAGTTGGAGGCTGGGGATAAGCAACAGCCATGTTAACCCCCAGTCCAGGAGAAGCTCTGCAGTCCAATTCTCCCCAGTCTTGTGGTCCAGATCTGGCCCAAGAAGCTGAATATCATTCTAAAATCCATGCTATAGATCAGAAGAGTCAATCTTAAAGAATTTCAGCAATAGAGTACCTGTCCTGCCCTTATACAAATGGTTCAAATGGCTAATTACCACGTTAAAAAATTAATGCCTTATTCTTATCTCATTAATGTCATATATGGAAATAATGTTACATCCCTAACTCTACTGAACATTCCCTGCATAAACATACAAAGAGAATGTCAGCTGTCATGGCTACTTTTATCATGGGAAACTTATAGTGAGTTGCTTACTTGGAAGGTCTAAGCCCCTTGCAAAATCGCTACTTTCCAGAATACATCCCACTTACAGGATGGCAACACAATCACTTGAGGAGTAAATCTAATCTGAAACTTCACTTTTGAAGAACAAGCTATTTCCACAAAAGCATAACTGAGCAGTTGCAGGATGACAGATTAATCTCAAAGGCATGCTTCTAAGCAGTTTAATAGGAAAAGGAAAATCTGAAAATTCAATATCTGGTTGAAATTGCGAAAACTTGTTAGACAGGAGGATGCATGCCCTCCTTAAATTACATATTAGTTGAAGAAAATAAACATATTACCATAGCAACCGGTACTTACAACAGCAGTTATAATTTGATAGCAAAGCACAATTTAAATATGCTGAGCAATCTCCACTTTCTCATATGTTTATTTTTAAAGAAAACACTTTGAATTGCTGTTATGCTGAGCCTCCTAAGCATTCCCAGTAGGAATGTCAACAGCACTCCAACTTCAAGCCACAATTCCAATGGCTTAAGTA